CGGGGCACCAGGGGCGTGGCCTGGTGGGCATGGTCAGGCAAAGACTGGGCCAGTGGCGCAGCCGGGGGCGGGGCTTGTTGGTTCGGGGTGGGGCCAGTGAAGGCGGAGCCAGATGAGGGCGTGGCTAGTGGGCGCGATCAGGTGAGCAGGGTTCGGAGGTCTGGGGCGGGGCTCAGACAAAAGGGGCGGGGTCCAGCACTGGTGGACTGGGTCCCTCGTTGCCCCCGCGCGGCAGCTTCACGAAAAATACTTCATAGGTGAGGAAACTGAGGCTCAGAGGTGAGTGATTAGGCGTCTTCTTTGCTGATGTCCTACTTCAGTCCTGAGTCTTATTCCACTTCTCCTGGGGTCAGCAACGTCATTCCTCTGCCATCAGTTTCCATTTGAAAGACAACAAATATCTCCAATCTCCAGCCCAGTGCTCCCTTTTCAGCTGCCACACTGTAATTAATAATACATAGTTAACAATTATTGACCCCTTACTATTAGCAGAATGTACATTCTACTAAGAGCTTTTACTTGTAGCTTCTCATATAATGTCCACACTACCTTCTAGGTTTTATTATCCCTAACTTGGAGGCTTCAGAAGTAAAATCACCTGCCCAGGAGCACACAGCTACCATGAGGCAGAGGCAAGATGTAGCGCAGGATCCAGTGAGGCCAGAGGCTGCTCTCCTCTCTGCTATGTCTCCTCCAGGTCCATCTGCTTCCTGGACACCTCTACCTGAATGTGTCTCAGGTCCCTGAAACTGCCTGGTCTCTCTTCCCCACTCACAGAAGCCCTTTATCCCTCCAGTCACCCAACTGGAAACCATGGTCTCATCCTCACCCACTCCCTCTGTCTCAGCCCGCAAGTTAAAATCCTGCAGATTCTGCCTCTACTCCCTCGTCTCTTCCCTTTGCTGGTTTCACTGCCTCTCAGCCTCTGGGCCCTTCCCAAGTTGGCCCTCAGAGTGCAGGGCTCTATTAAACCATGGATTTGACCATGTCTCTTCTAGTTAACAATGGCTTGGTCTCCACAACCCTTTGATTCCTGGCTCTAGAAGTCTCTCCAGTATGTCTTGGGCTCACTCCAACACCTTCTTACCCTCCAAGAAGCTAGAACAGCTCCTCCCCCAACACACACTCTTTTTTTTAACTACCCTCTTTATTTAAAAAAAAAAAAATCTTTGTTATGAAAGTTTTCAACTATTTACAAGAGTAGAGAAAAATATGGAATGCTTCACCTCTCTACTTAAAAGAGATCTCCCGGTTAGTCTACATCATGACACCAACTTTTCCCTTCAGAACATATATCAAAGTAATCATTTGTTTCCTAGGCTGTAAGTTCCACGAAGGAACCATGTTTATCTTCTTCTGCAGTTAACTCCCTTCACACATAAGGGCTAAGTAGGTGTTCATTAAATAACCACACCGTACCGTGTTGTGACTGTTTGTGTGCATGTTTGTCCCATTGGTCTGTGAGACCCTCAAAAACTCCCTACTCAATATCATATTAAGTATCTATTTGTTGACTGTCCATCTCTCCCCATCAAAATGGAAGTTCCATGAAGAAGACAAGGATTTTTGTTCATTGCTGTATCCTCTGTACCTAGAACCATGCCTGCCAAAATAGTAGATGTTCAATAAATATTTACTGAATGTCGACAATGCAAGGATGTGGCCGAATTATTTCTCAGTCCATTGCGCCCACTTAAACCCACGCCCAGGGAGATTGTCAGTGAATATTGGCTGAATGAATGAATGGGTCTGTGCTAAGAATGTGTGCACTGATGATGCTAAGGTTCTTAGGGCTTGAACAAGGAGCTTGTGTGGATCTTAACAGTGTCTCACACAAACAAATCAATCTCCCTTGAGAGCCTAGGCCCACGGGATTCCCCAGAAGAGAGAGAAGAGAGAAGGTAAGAAGTCTTACCTGGAAGGGAGCGCTCACAGCCATCTAGTGGTCACCTGGGGAACTGCAGATATTGTCAGCCCTGGTCAAATGTCACTCCCAGCCCCTTCTGGGGAGATGATGACATCTAGGCTAGAATGGAAGGCACATTGGACTTGGTTACAGATAAACCCACTTCAGATCCCAGCTGTATCATTTACTGTGCGATTCGGGGCAAGTACTTCGGCTTCTCTGGGCTTTACCTATGAAATGGGGATACGGGGTTGTGGTAAGCACTGGGCTCTGGTTTGGCACCTTGTAGGTAGGAAGGATTGGAGAAGGTGTCAATGGTGGGAAGAAGCAGGAAGGTAGGGCAGGGGGCATGAGAAGAAGAGAGGAGGAAGGGCTGCCCCTTCCTCTGGACAGCAGAAGAGAAACCTGGTCAGCAGTGATGGCCACAACCATCCTGTTGGCATCAGGCGGTTTTGGAGCATGAGAGAGTATGCATGTGAAAATCCATAGGCTCTCTTGAGTCTTTTAGATCCAAGGGTTTTTCAGGGTTAGAAATATCACTGCATTCTTCCTTCCTGGCTGCCTGAGGATCGACATCATTGCTACTCAGAATAGCAGAAAATAGCCAGCAGCCTCCCAACTCTAAGACCAGCTGGACAGTTGTTGGAACCCAGCTCTGGTTGGGGAGAAAGTGGATACCTGAGTCCTGGGGTGCAGATGCCCCTGTATTCTCTGTTCAATGCCTCCACCTTGCTTGACACCATATGTGTTACTACTCTGTTTTCCTTCTCTTTCTCTAGATGCTGCTCTTTATTTTAATTATCTAGTCAACAAATATTTGTTGAACACCTACTACTTGCTAGGTGCTGTAAGAGTGCTAATCTAGGATAGAGGTCAGAGAAGTTGGCTTCAGGAGAAGTGACTTGGATGTAGAACCCTTAATGAACTGAAGGGGTTCTCGGCAGAAAGAATAGCCAGTGCAAAGGCCCAGGAATAGGAACATTCTCATCCAGTCTGTGCCCTGAAGTTCCTCCTCACTCTACTCCCTCCTCTGGGTGATGTCACCTACTCCTAGAACCTCAGTTACTACCTGCATATCTATGCCTCCTGGGTGTCCTCCTGCCAGGTATACCATTGGTAGCCCACACGGCCACCGCTGACAATGTGCCAGGCCCCTCCTAACAATGCTATGAGGTAGATACTAACATTACCCCTTATTGATGAGAAAACAGGCACAAAGAGCCTAAGAAACTCACCCGAAGTCATGCAGCCAGGAAATTGAGGAATGAATCCAGTCTGTACTCCTGAGCATCTCCACCTGCTAAACACCCTAAACTCACTGTATCCAACCTGAAGTGCATCATCTTCCCCAGCCTGGCCCTCGCTTCTTCCCAAGTGCTGTGCCACTGGCCTTTGACCTCCTTCCCCTGGCCCCACACAAACTGTGGAAACTGCAGTGGTGCCATGTTGGGAGACGAGTCGGTGGGGCCTTGGAATTGGGCCCCTCTGGTTTCCCCAAGCCCTAACCTGATTCCCTGACCCCCACCCCCATTCCACAAGCCTGGATAATTCCAGCGAGGATCAGTTAGAGACAGAGGGAGGAGGCGCAGGCAGCTTCCCTCCCCCAGGATTGGCCATATCTGTCACATCTGGAGAAATCCACTGCAGGGGGATGCTCTGAGATTAAGGACAGACAGGGTTGGAGAAGATGGAGCTCCTTCTCCATGCCCTACCTTCCAGGATGTCTGAGATGGGAGGTTGAGAGGGGCCTGCCTTAAGATGGAGCTCCTTCTCCATGCCCTACCTTCCAGGGCATGGAGAAGGGACTGAGCTGCCAGGTTTTCTGCTTCTAAGTTCTTCCCAGCTCCCCCTCTCCAGCTGCTTCGGGGAAGTGCCCACCCCGCCACACCACCACCCTACTGGCTTTCCAGATCTTTGAATAAATAATTCAGGTTTTGAAATCTTGCCAGGTCCACCCCTCCCATGCTGTGAGGGTGCTATTAAGCTGACATGAGTGATGTCACCCAGCTTCTTATTCCAGCTCCAGCATCAGGAGGACCTGCCCTGGCAGCAACTTACCTTCTTGATCACTGTCAGTCCAGACCCTCTACCCTGTCCCACTCACTCTGGGGCCTACTCACCACGGTCACCTAGTATCTTCATTCCAGGTGACCCTCATCACTTAAGTAGCTTTGTCACCTCAGTACCTCAGCACTTGTGACAGGGTCATAGTGATCCAAAGTCTCATAACCTGCACACACCATCTTCCCTTGCCACAGCCTCTGCCACCCTGGGATCTCTGAACCCATCATGCCACAGTCACCCTGACACTGCTATAATTGCCCCGGAGGCTTCCCTTTCTACGTCAGCGTCCCTCAGCCACCATCCCCCAAGATCCTGTCACCATGCTCATACTGTCACTGCCACCTACCTCCCTACTCCCTCGTGCTCCTGTCACCGTCACCTCAGGGTCCCATCATCTTGGCAACCCCCGTCATCCTCATCGGGGACGCCCATTCAGCCCATCACATGGTCTCCGTCACCTGAATTTCGTCAGCCTGTCTTTGCCACCCGAGGGTCCCATCACCCCACAGCCTATCCGAGTCCCCTTTCTGCTGCCTCCCAACATACGCCCCACAGCCTCTCTGAGACTTTTCCAAGACCCTCCTCCCACCGACGTCCCCGAAACCCCCCAGCCCGCAGAGGGCGCCGCGTCAAGGACAGCGCGGGCCGAATCGGGAGGGGCGGGGCCTCGGCCACGGTCGCTTTTTATGAATGGGGGAGCAGGCGGTGCGAGGCCTCATTACTATGCCGATCGACGCGCGCTGCGTCCCAGCGCGACGCATTCATTGGTTAGCTGAGCTGTGACGTCACCAAACCGGTGGCCGGGGGCGGGGCGGGGCGGGGTGACTCACGCCGCTTCTCCCGCGGCCGTGGGGGCTTCTTGGGGTTCGCTCACACCCTGCGCTCTCCGGACTCAAGCGGAACCTTCCCGCGCGGCCCGGCCGCGCCCGGTCCCGAGAGGTGAGTAGTGGTCCCTTCTGCGGACACCAGGTGTCCAGAAGGGTACGCAGAATGCTGGGGCGCTGAGCCGCGGTCAGGCTCCCAGCTGCGGGCCAGGGTCGGAGGTCAAGACCTGGAACCCAGATGCTGGGCTACCAGGCAGGGACCCTGTGTCAGGGTGCTGAGCGCCATCAGCGGGATGACCCGACGAGGAGTGAGCACTCCTTCAGAGACCCAAGGCCCTGGAGGGACTGATGGTTATCTGAGGTTAGCCCGGTAGGAAGCGGCGGGGACAGAGACCGAGGCGTCCGAGCAGAAGGAGGTGTCTGACTTAGGGAACTAGACATCTGTGCAGGAGGCGGAGTCAGACCCAAGATCCAGGTGGCCGGGCCGAAGGAGGGGACTGACTTAGTATCCAGGCTTCCAGCAGGGGGTGTCTGTTCCGAAGACTCAGAGGTTCAGGCAGAAAAAGGGGTCTGGCCGGGGACAGAAGTCTGGGGGTATGTTGGGGGTGCTGAGTCCCCAGGTGTTGTTACCCGAGGAGCACAGGGTGGGGGCTGGCGGGAGCTTCACGCGCACTCCCTGGGGGCGGAGCCTGGGGCTGGCAGTACTGAGAATCGTGAGGGATCTGGCGAGCCTCAGAAACTGAGCGTCACCCTCCCTGATGGGAAGGGAGCAGAGTTGTCCTCAGTCTTGAGATGTGTTTCCTTCCCTCACTCCTGGCCTTTTCCAGCATCTCCTGGATCTTACAGGCCCCCATCCACATGTGGTAGTCCTTCATCTGGTTCTCCTCTAATCACACACGTGGGGGGAAGAGACCTGCAGGACCCAGGGAGTTGGAAGGGAAATGAAGAGACTTACCGAAGACAGGGATCCCAAAGACAGGGATCCCCAGGAAAAGAGACCTGTGTAGGCCTGGGGGCATTGGAGAGGACATAGATGTCCTGGAAGGAGCCCTGGGGCATTAGGTGGGGGCAAGGCTTTGGGACCCAACCAGGTAGCCTGAGGAGAGACTTCCACCTAATATCCAGAGGGACCTCAGCCTCTCCAGTCCCTTTCACCCAGCACCCAACAGCTTCTCACAGGGCCTTTCTCCTACAGGTACCGTGATGTGGGGTGCAGGCAGCCCCCTGGCTTGGCTCTCCGCTGGCCCAGGCAACGTGAACCTGAGCAGCGTGGGGTCAGCAGAAAGGCCCAAAGGCCCAGCTGCACCGCTTCCTTCACCCAGGGCCTGGGATGTGGTGCTGTGCATCTCAGGCACCCTGGTATCCTGCGAGAACGCGCTGGTGGTGGCCATCATTGTGGGCACTCCTGCCTTCCGTGCTCCCATGTTCCTGCTGGTGGGCAGCCTGGCTGTGGCTGACCTACTGGCGGGCCTGGGCCTGGTCCTGCATTTTGCTGCTGTTTTCTGCATTGGCTCATCAGAGATGACCCTGGTGCTGGTTGGCGTCCTGGCAATGGCCTTTACCGCCAGCATTGGCAGCCTACTGGCCATCACTGTAGATCGCTACCTTTCTCTGTACAATGCCCTCACCTACTACTCAGAGACAACAGTGACACGGACCTATGTGATGCTGGCCCTAGTGTGGGGGGGCGCGCTGGGCCTGGGGCTACTGCCTGTGCTGGCTTGGAACTGCCTGGACACCCGGGCCACATGCGGCGTGGTATATCCACTCTCCAAGAACCATCTGGTGGTCCTGGCCGTTGCCTTCTTCATGGTGTTTGGCATCATGCTGCAGCTCTATGCCCAGATCTGCCGCATCGTCTGCCGCCATGCCCAGCAGATTGCCCTCCAGCGGCACCTGCTGCCCGCCTCCCACTACGTGGCCACCCGCAAGGGCATTGCCACACTGGCCGTGGTGCTTGGCGCCTTTGCTGCCTGCTGGCTGCCCTTCACCGTCTACTGCCTGCTGGGTGATGCCCACTCCCCACCCCTCTACACCTATCTCACTCTGCTCCCTGCCACATACAATTCCATGATCAACCCCATCATTTATGCCTTCCGCAACCAGGACGTGCAGAAGGTGCTGTGGGCCATCTGCTGCTGCTGTTCCTCTTCCAAGATCTCCTTTCGATCCCGTTCCCCCAGTGATGTCTAGTCATATCCTGGTGACCCTTCAGCCCTGATCACTACAGAATTCCAGAATGTTAGGTCCTCCAGTACTTTGTTCCAACCCCCCCACCCCCAGCTCCACACCTCCAAGACCCAGCTGGTTCTGGAGTTCTAGGACATTGGATGTTTCACAGGATTCTGTTCAGATCCCTGCAGGGCCCAACTAACTCCATGGTTCTAGAATGTTCAGGTGGCCAGGGGTCTACTCAAAAACGTCCCACAGCCCAGCTGGCTTGGAGTTGCAGAATGCTGCTGGGTGTTTTTACAGTGCCATTCCAAGTCCCTGGTCTTTCCTTGACCTTGTCACCTTACTTTTGAGTTTCTGAGCTAGAGTCAGAAAGGTTAGCCACTCAGTTACCTAGATAGGAGAAAGAGGAAAAGATTTATTTATATATATGCACATACGAAGAGAGTATCTATTTATGATTTATTTATTTATGAATTTATTTATGGATATAAGGGGAAAAAAGAGACCCACACCTTGAAATCCAGGCCATACCAGGGTATCCCTAGTCCCCACACCCTCATTTCTGACCTCAGTTCCTAGAGGGGGAAAAGGGAGAAAGAGAAACCACGTATTTTGTTATTATTTTTGCTTATTTTTTATTGAAGAGATCATAGAAACCAGAGCCTCCTCCCCAGGCCCGCCCTTCTAGGGTTTAAAGGGGGGAACACACCAGCCTCTGGTTTTTTATTTTTTTAAGAAGCCATCACCTGAGCAACCGAGAATTCCTCTGTGCTGGGGGCCGGCTGCCCTCTGGTGGCAGTTTGGGGAAAATTGCAGCCTGGCCAGGCAGCCAGGGCCAGACGTGGCAACCTCAGCTCCACTCGAGCCTGGCATCCAGTGCCACAGCCACAGCCAGGAGGCCAGGCCTCACCCTGTGGTGCCCTAGAGGAGGCAAGGTGTGAGCCAACATCTGACCCCTCTGCCGATAGGGGTATGCCGATCCAGTGCATCCCCTATTCCTGTCCCTGACCCAACCCTCAATAAAAAATGATTTTGTAATAAATATGTTTCTGTCTGTGTGTGTGGAGGGGGTGGAGCGGGGCCTGACAGAAAAGCAAGGAATTCCCATTAGACCAGGCCTGGGGGCCTGTTGGGGAACATAGGGAGCTGGAGATCTAGGGTGGATTGTGGCTGGCAGGTGACACTCCCACCCCAGGATGCCAGTCTGATGGACTTCTCTCTGCTCAGACCTGGACACCACCAGACAAGGACCCCACCTCCCACTGGGGACAGGAACCAGGGTGCTGGTCTCTTCTTGTGTTCCAGATGCCCACATCCTACCCACATTAGCTTTAGTTTAGGGCTTTGGCATGAAGTATACATTCAAAGCATGTCAACTTCCTTAATAACAACATCCCCTTATAATTGTGGGTATGTGCAGTGTGCTAGGCATTATGCTGAGTGTTACTTCATTGATGCCTAACAAGCATCCCAGGGCACAGGTAATATCTTCTCCATTTTACAGATGAGGAAACTGAGACTGAGAGAAGGTTGGTGACAGGCCTAAGGTACATCTGTTTCCAGAACTTGTGCTCTGCCTACTAGCCAATGGCTTCTTATCTCCTTCCCTCCCAAGCCTGGGGCCTAGGACATTCTGGACCTTGATTTGTATTGGAGTTCATTCTCAGAGCCAGCTGCCACCTTTGGGAGGTGGTTGGATGAGGTGTAGTCATTCTGGAGCTGGAATAACTTCTTTTCTGCGCAAAGGTGACTGGTGGTAAGTGTTTGCATGTGCGCTTGTGTGCATTTGAAGACACAAGTGTGCAGGACCCTGAGTTTAGGAGTGTTGGAACCAGAAAGGATGTATTCACCAGGCAAGGGCAGGAACAGGTTTGGAATGTGGCCGAAGAGGAAGCCCTGACTAGCCACATCTCCCAGCTTCCCTGGCCTCACAGGTGACCAGAGCCTGGGGGTTGGGCCCTCAAAGCATTCTGGCCTACCCCTCCACTGTACAGCTGGGGAGACTGAGGCTTGAAGAGGAATAGCCATTTGCTCAAACTCACATGGCTTGTGCCAGGCTAGGACTCAGGTCTTTCTCCATTTCCTTGGCCAAAGCTCTTTTACCTGGTGTCCAAGATCCCTCCCCAATAGTGGCCACAGGAATCCAAGGGTGTGGACATGCTAGCAGAGGCTAGAGCAGAGCTGGGGGCGGGCAGGTCTGGCTGAGCTGCAAATAGCTCTGGTTCAGGCACAAAGTGGGGAGGCCCCATCAGGTCAGGTTGAACGTTCTCCCTCCACTTTCTTGGACCGTCTCTGGAGGGTGGGGAAACACTCAGCAAAGAACCTCCCCCATGCCAAACTTTGGGCCAGACATTTCATACATCACCAGGGCCCATAGGGTGAGACGATTGCTCTCTCCATTTTACAGAAGAGGAAGTTGAGGCTCTGAGAGTAATGGGCCTTCATTCATGCAACGCTGTCCTATGGACAGCTTAAATTCTAGCTGGGGCAGATAGTAATAAAGAGCTAAGTTAAAAATATGGTAATGTCAGAGAGTGATAAGTCCTCCGAGAAAATACAGAAGGGACACAGAGAGTATGTAATCTTTAAATAAGGGTGCCCAAGAAAGGCCTTACTGAAGGTGATATTAAATTTGCCTAAAGTCACACAGTTAGTAAGGAGTTGAGTTGGGGTTTGAACCCAGGTCCATTTCACACCAAATCTGTTGCTTTCCTGGGTGAGGGAGTGGGTTTCAGGAGCAACTCAGAAACAGCATTCAAAGAAACTAGGACAGGGAGCCCTGTCCCCAGGCTGGGGAAGAGTTGGGAGTCTCCAGGCTATCCTAGATCTTTGAGAGTGGTGTAGGG